GTTCGAATCTGCAAGACGGGAATGAATTTTCTCGTTGTCGGGACTGGTGAGTCCCGAATGACTTCCCGTCACTCAAGAGACTGTATATGACTAATTTGTGCACGACAGAGAAAACTGGAGGCAAGAAGGATGGAAGGATCAAGGCTTAGGCATAGGCGCTAGGAACCTAGAAGCTGCCTAAAGTCGTCGGGACCAACGGACTAAGAAGAAAATTGATTGAACAAGGAACGGCAAAGGGCCGCAAGAAAATAGCGAAGGCGATCCTTCCCCCGAAACGGAGAAGGACTGCCAGGAATAGTAGTAAACGCTGGATGTGCGCCGCAAAGAGAGAAAAGAAGCAGAAAAGGATAGGACATAAGGCGTCGGCATGGGAAAAGGTGGTCGAGCCAGGTGGGGCACTAGGACGCAGCAACAAGAGGCTCAAGGGGGCCACGGGCCAAGTAGGGACCCGCGTCCGGGGATGCCACCGGCGGGACAAAGTGTCGGGGACCACGTGAGACCAAGAGAAGATGTGGTGCCGGCGGGACAAAGTGCCAGGGACCACGTGAGACCAAGAGAACAGGTGGCACCGGCGGGACAAAGTGTCGGGGACCACGTGAGACCAAGGGAAGATGCGGTACCAGCGGGACAAGGTGTCAGGGACCGCGTGAGAGCAAAGAAAAGATGCGGCACCAATGGGTCAAGTGCCGGGGGCCACATGGGAGCAAGCAAAGGCGCGGCATGAACGGGTTGAGTGTCGGGGACCACGCGGCACCGACAGGACTAGTACCGAGAACCATGGGGGACCAAGCAAAAATTGCGGTACCAGCGGGACCACCAGCGGGACAAGTACCGGCGGGACGGGTACCGGCGAGACTAGTGTCGGGGGCTAGTGTCAGGGACCAGCGCGGGATAAGTGGCGGGGACCTGTGACGTCCCAAGGGAAAATGGTGGCACGGTATGCAATGTAAAAAAATAAAACAAGGTACACCGTCAAGATCGAAGATCTAGACAGTCAAAATTATTAACACCACTAGTGCAAGCACTAGTGGGAGCAAGAGGGAGGGCCAAAAGAAAAATAAAAAAAACTAAAGACAACAAGGGCTAGAGGCATGGGAGCAATCCGAAAAATCTCGGATTAGCCTCTCCCAAGAAAATGGGGCCAAAAGGGTCGGCATGAGAAAAATAGGCTCCCCGAAAAAAATCGGTGCCTAGGGGCCCACCGTTTGGGAGAGAGGAGGACTAACGGTGGCTCCCAAGGGCATGGAAGGGCCACAACTGCAGTCCGAAAAATAACGGACTGGCACTTGGGCATAGGAAGGGCCAAAACTAAGAAGGAGAGGCAAGAAAAGGGCCTTAACGGCTAGTTGACACTTGGCATGCAAAAAAAAAAAAAAAAAAAAAAA